AGGACATCAGATTGCAACACTTGGAATTCAATTGTCATCTCTATGGCTAATATCCTACCACTTGCCTCTATTTTGAGATGTTTTGTAGGAACTTCAAGCTGTAATCCAACAAGGTAATAGCCAATCTATCTATATACCTCAGAAGGGACCAGAGCCCACTTAGCCATCACTGCATCTTTAGATCATCCTCCTGGCCCTCTACCATCGACCAATCCAAGGAAGGCTATCAGCATTGTGGACCAACTAGATACTCTTTTAAGTTGATAATGCACTGTTTAACCCTCCCTGCAACCTAAAAATTTCATTGCCATAATCTCTTGGGCAATTTGGGAGATGTGTGATAGCTACCTGACTCCTTGTCCTATGTATAAGAAATAAACTACTTTGTTCCACTATTTTGGTGTCAGTAATTGACTTCCTGTGTGTCAGGTAAATGGACCCAGTTCTGGGTGTTCTATCCAGTTCCTTCAGCCAGTTTTGATGAGTTCCATGATATATCTGATGTTATTCTTAGGCTATTATAAGCTCGATTAATTTTCTTAATGCCCTAAAAAATCAGAGCAGTTATCTCACTCTCACTCTCCCCTTGGACATCATCTGATAATACTACTTAGGAAATAAATAGCTTCATGGCTGGTTCCATATAAAAACCTTGGGGCTTTCCTCAGCATTTCAGTTGACTCTTAAACGTCTTGTTCATTGATCCTCAAACTTTTTCCACCGTAACAAATTAGAAAGATAACATGCTCAGGTCAGTGACAGTAGCTGAACAGAGACAGAAGCCTGACAGTGATCTCAATATGAGACGCTCCTAGGATCCCCTCCTCTCTCACCTATTAAAATACTGGTGTGGTAGTTAGGAGAGTGTGTGTGGGAAGCTTGACTGAGCCCCAGAATAATTCTAATAAACTCCAGATAAGAGTCAAGTAAACAATAATAGTTCTGTACCGAAATTGTACTCTTTTTGTCATTGAAGTATCCTCTTTTATGTCTTATTATTTCTGAATAGAATCTAGTAATCTAGCAATCATCTTGTCTGTCTGCTCATGTAATTCACAAATTACTAAAGTCCTGCCCCAAGAAGTTTGCCATCCAAACTTCTTATCTAAAGGTATGGTGCAGTGAGCCACTGTTAACTTCCCACAGAATTACAGATATAAAACAGTTACTCTTCCTTAAGTCAGGCTAACATTCACTTCTCTGTAACTCACTCACCTCTATAAGACAAATTGTTAAAACCCAACATGATCTTGCCCCAGAAAACTCTTCCCATCTGACCTTCTATCACTGAATTCCAGCCATAGTGGCTATTACTTGGCTCCTTGAATGTGCGATCCTGTCTTTATGTGGCAGGCTCCTCCCCTCAAGGCTAAATTCTGTTTCCTCTACGTGGAAGCCTTTCTGCTTCTCCAAGCTCAGGGATACTCTTCCATGTTCACTGCTGGACCTTAAGTGCCTAGAGGAGAACCTCTCCATGATGGGCTTCCCATAAATATTTGTGGAATAAGGGAAAATGTGTGATCTGATCTGGGTCAAGTGTATCTCTTATTTTTATTAATGGTATCTATATATCCTAGGTTTGTTTGTTTTGTGTGGGGAGAGGCCAGTAAAAGGACATGCCATTATTAGCTTATCTTGAATGTGAACATTATACTACCTGGAATTTGAAGGTGGAGCCAGCAGAATTTGATGTTCAGTTAGAGAATGGGATTTGATATAAGGAGTCAAGTGCAAGTAACTTCAAGATTTTTGGCCTGAGCAACTGGACAAATGTAGTTACCACTACTGAAATAAGGAAAACTGACAGGGGAGGTATGGGGAAAGCGTTGAAGTAGATGTCAGGAGTCAGTTTGGGCAATGAAAATTTACAAAACTCAGGATCATTAATTCACTGTCCCTTGGCTTCCTCAACTGTACGGAGGGGTTCATAATTCCTCCTGGGATGATTGTGAGGATTTAAGGAGTTAATCAACTATGAAATTAATCTTGAAGAAGCCTAAGGTACCCTGCACCTGACTCCTAGGTGACAGGACCTTTCAGAGACCTCAACTATGATCAAGAAAACTTCTGTCTTGAAGAAGGAAACATCTACTATACCCTAGGAATCCTAGAGCCATGGTAACAAGAGTGATTAACATCCCCTTTGTTTGCCTCTCCCTGAATACAGAGAATATCCCATGTGGGAATGTAATGTACCTCCTCAATCCATAATCAAAACAATCATCAGGAGTACAATTTTCTTTTCTTTTTCTTTTTTTTTTTTTTATTTTTGACAGGCAGAGTGTACAGTGAGAGAGAGAGAGACAGAGAGAAAGGTCTTCCTTTACGGTTGGTTCACCCTCCATTGGCCGCTGCGGCCAGCGCGCTGTGGCCGGTGCACTGCACTGATCCGAAGCCAGGAGCCAGGTGCTTCTTCTGGTCTCCCATGCAGGTGCAGGGCCCAAGCACTTGGACCATCCTACACTGCCTTCCCGGGCCACAGCAGAGAGCTGGACTGGAAGAGGGGCAACCGGGACAGAATCCGGCTCCCCGACTGGGACTAGAACCCAGTGTGCCAGTGCCGCAAGGTGGAGGATTAGCCTATTGAGCCACGGCGCCAGCCAGGAGTTCAGTTTTCAATGTGATTGGTAACCATACATAAATCTGTTTCGTTTAAAGCTGACTCAATGCATGTACTCACTCTATAAGAATAGTATAAAACCTCTAGCTAAACAGCCTTGTGGAACAGCCAGCTCAGGCAACTGAGTGGTTTTTTTCAAGTTTAAATCCTCAGTTTTTATAGCTGAATACATTTCAGGTTTTCAGCCAGACTCTGATTTCTCAGCACACAGTTCAAAACAAAATAATAGCAAAGGGGGAAAGGAAAAATAAATTAAACATAGTTATTAGGCCATAGAGCTTTTTGCCAAATTCCTTGAACATTAAATATGAAAATTTAAGCATAATTAAAAAAAATTCCCCTGGTAGGATTTTAGACTTTATTAAAGATTTTTTTCTGTGATATAGGAAGATGTTTAGTTATCTGGTAGAAATTAAAGTATTGATTCCAAATATCTAAAAACATCTGTCTGTTGATGGCAATCTTTAACAAAGGAGTATTTGAACAACAAGAAAAAGTCTCCCACTTACTCTCTGAACTGCCCTATGACTTATAAACTTAAACAACTAATGTATTGAGTCAACTGTGAATTGGGCAAAACATTAGATATGTAAAGCTAATGTCTCTAAGGTAGAAATTATGATGTTATCTTCTAGAGGTTAATGTATATATTTTACAATAGCTTAACATTATAGGCTTAATACAAGAAATTTAATTGCTAAATTTTCAGTATTAGAGTTTATAAGATGTAATCACACTTAACAGAAGATTTATTTATTTGAAATTCAGAGTTAGAGAGGAAGAGACAGATTTCCACCCGCTAGTTTAGGCCCCAGTTGGCTGCAACCGCCAGCACTAGAACAGACTGAAGCCAGGAGCCACAGGCTTCATCCAGATCTCCCACATGGGTGACGAGGACCCAAACACTTGGCCAGTCTTCCACTGCTCTCCCCTGGCCATTAGCAGGGAACTGGATCAGAAAGGGAGCAGCTGGGATTTGAACTGTGGGATGCCAGCATCAGAGGCATCAGTTTAACCTGCTATGCCACAGTTCTGGCCCCCACATATATATATTTTTGTTAAATTCTCAATAAATCTGGGCCGGCGCCGTGGCTCAATAGGCTAATCCTCCACCTTGCGGCGCCGGCACACCGGGTTCTAGTCCCGGTCGGGGCGCCGGATTCTGTCCCGGTTGCCCCTCTTCCAGGCCAGCTCTCTGCTATGGCCAGGGAGTGCAGTGGAGGATGGCCCAGGTGCTTGGGCCCTGCACCCCATGGGAGACCAGGAAAAGCACCTGGATCCTGGCTCCTGCCATCGGATCAGCGCGGTGCGCCGGCTGCAGCGGCGGCCATTGGAGGGTGAACCAACGGCAAGGGAAGACCTTTCTCTCTCTGTCTCTCTCTCTCACTGTACACTCTGCCTGTCAAAAATAAAAAAATAAATAAATAAAAATTAAAAAAAAAATTCTCAATAAATCTTATGTGAAGTTCTAATGTCTCAGTGTGCTTCATATAGAATTTGTGGGTATATTTTCACCATATAACTAACATGTTAATAACCTAAATCCCTTCCTATTACTTTATGTTGTAACAATCCTTTCAAAGCCTAATTACCCATGAGTAAGTCTTCTGTTCCAGAGATAATAGGGGAAATCAGGGATCTTCTATCTTGGTGTTAGTCACAGCAGGGAGAAGGTACCTCATGGTACAGCTACCTCACTTAGGTCCTCTGAGTCTGTCCTTACAGGAATCTATCATGGTTGCTGGAAGGCAAATTTTTGGCATGTTATAGAGACAGGTGTTGAACATAGGACCACATAATAATAATAATAATTGTAGGCAGCATTTTCTGAGCACATGGTAAATGCTAAGCTTTGTTTAAAGTCCCTTGCGTGTGTTAACTTTATAATAGTCACAAGAGTCCTTCAATGTGTAGATGCTGTGCTGTGCCTGTGTAATAATTGTGGGCATGGAAGAATGGAGAAGTGTTTGATGTTGTCTAAATTTACATGGATCACAGCTTAGAGTTGTTTCAAGTCCAAGAAGGGTGGCTATGGAGCCCTGTTCTTAGAGAGTATGCTGTAGCACCTCCTTGTATAAAATGTAGTTTATGATAAATGTAAAAAACACTTAAGTAACTGTCAGGATTTTTGTTTCATAAATGAAATTTGTGTGAGGGTACTTCCAAGGATTCATAGATAAATGGAATTAAAAGGTAAATTTGTATTGGTGCAAAATATTTTTGAAAATAAATGATATGTGTGCACATATAAATAAATTAAGGTAATAACTTTAATGTATTATTTTTATTTTCCTTCTCCACAATACAATGTACATTATAGAGCACTGGCAGAATTTAAAATTATTATGGTAAATATTGTGATTTTCTTCTTTCTCCTCAGATTCATGGTTTTCTTCAAATGAAATTATGCTCATTGCAGTTTTCCCAATTTTGTCTGTAATTTTGTTCTGGGGACAGTTATGTGTTGTAAGTAAGTATTTCTAATTTTTATTTATATTTTAGTGATGAAATTGTCATTTCTGGAAGGAATTTACATATCACTTGTTATATTAGGAAGAATAACTATGACAGTTATGCATATGTGATTTGAATACTAATAGTCTCTTAGGAGTATTTATTGCCCCTATATTTTTAAACAGTTCCAATTTAATTCCTAGGTGATTTTTAATTATTTTTTAAGCTGCAAAGCATCAATTGTGGGAATACTAGCAGATATCTCCTTAAACTCATATAAATGCTAGTAATAACTCCTTAAACTATAAATACAAGTAATTCTTCTTTTAACTCATTGGTAGCATCTTAATATTTATCAAACATTTATGCACATGATAGTTGGAAAGCATAGGTAGTCACAGGCTACATTAATGTTAAAATAGAATGCTATTCTTTGGAGCATAAATATTCCCCTATCTTTCCATTGACAGTTTGAACTTGTATTAGTGTATTCACCCTTGGGAAAACCCAGTTTGAACTTCTCACTGTTTCATCCTCACTGTGCAGCTAAGGAAGTGGTCAGAACAAAGTTGTGTTCTTTTGTGTTACTTCCCTGTAATAATAATGTAATCTGGCTTCCAAGTGCAAATCTTTATGCTAAATCAGATTTGGTGTCAACAGCACAGAATTATCATTATAAGGTGAATAGTTAATATTTATCCTGGTTAATGTTTACATTCCACCATATTCCCATTCCAAAAGAAATTGATGAAGAAATTCAATTGATAAATTCACTAAATTTGTGAAATTTAAGGTGACAGTCTAAATATTTAAACATTTAAATGTAAGATTTATTCCTGCTTTCCCCATACCACCTTGAAATAATCATTGAAGATGAGGAAATAGCTCTACAGGCAGGGAGTTAAGTAATACTGATTTTTATTCTGCAATCTTTGTAAAAGGGAAAGCCAGGAAAATACTGTAATGAGTTGGCCTGTTGTATGCTTAATGAACTTTATCTTCCTTAGACGTTTATATTATTATTTTCTCTTGCAAATTTAAGATATTATCTTTTTGTTTTACTTTTGAAAGTTTGACTTTAAGGTGTTATGGTGAGGATCTTTTATGATCATGTCTATTTGATGTTATATGTGATTCTTGTGTTTGAATGTCTGTGCCTTTCTTCAAATTGGAGGAATTTCCTGCTACTATTTAATTTAATAGGTATTCCAACCCCTTTTTTTTTTCTATATGTTTAGGAATTCCTAAGACTCAGATATTTGGTTGTTTGATGACCATCCATAGATCCTGAACACTAGTTTCTTCTAATTTTTTTTCTTCATTTTTTTCTGACTGTGATACTTCAAAAGATCTGTCTTCTTTTTGTCACAACCTTCTCACTTTTCCCCTTTATGCAAATAAGTTCCTCTTCACTGATTTCCTGTGGCTGCATCTTGGGAATCTATTACATGGCAGTTGTGTCCACTTTCCTATGGTCACTGTTTCTTCTATTTCTCTGTGGTTTATTGGAATTTTTCGTCTCAGTTGTCTGCATGTACACTGAAATTTGTGAGCCCTTTCAAAAGGCTAGGGAATGTTTGGGAAGAGGAAAAGGGAATTGGTCTGTTGGACATTTTCTTTGATCTTTTATATTCAAAATACTTTATCTGGGTTGTTTTATTTCTAGTTCCTATAGATTGAATATGGAATGGCCCATCAGTACTCAGTGTGACAAAATCATTTCATTGGAATAAGTATGGAGTTTATTGTAAAATTATTTTACTTGCACTTAGGCAAGTAACTTGTTTATTATTGGCAATCAATGCTCATTTTACTGCACATGTTTCACAGATCCTTCATTTGTGTGTGTATTTTCAATGATTTTGTTAAGCATTTAACAATAGTAGCTTGGGACTGACATCATGGCTCAGTGGGTTAAGCCACCACTTGTGCCGTTGGTATCCTATATTGGAGTGCAATTCGAGTCCTAGCTACTCCACTTCCAGTCCAGCTTTCACTAATGTGTCTGGGAAAGCAGCAGAAGATGGCCTAAGTATATGAACCTGTGCTACCCATATGGGATACCTGGATGGAGTTCCAGACTCTGGATTTGGCATGGACTAGCAGCCATGGCCTTTGGTGGCCATTTTGAAAGTAAGACAGTGAACAGAAGATAAGTCTATCAGTCTCCCCCAGTTTCCCTGTCACCCTGTCTTTCAAATAAATAAATATTTTTAAAATCATAAATAATTATAAATTTTAAAATGGTAATTTCATTTTAAGTTATCAGAAATGCTTTTTCTTGCATTGAAGCTAATGCTGATTTACTGCTCAACAGATACTGAAAAGATTCTAAAATTGCATTCCTAGTGATATCAGAAACCACTACATTATTTAAATCTAACATCCTTTATGATTTATTCACAGTTTGATATGTATTATATCTCATTGGTAAGCTTTATTATTTCTCTAGTTATTCATTGATCATTTAGGCAGAGAATGTCTAAATCCCACTGAACAAGCATTACCTTTTTGGATTTTACTGGGTGGACTTCCTACTGAGTCTATCAAATCTACTCATTGCAGTGTCATGAAAACTGAACATGGTAGATTTTATTTTGTTCTCAGCTGACCTAGTAATTGCAATAGGGTTCATCAGCCACACCTATTTTCTGTTCTGTGCATGCTGTATATCTGTCACAAGGAGACCAGACAACCTTACTGTTATTTTTTTTTTCATGTTAGCTATTTGTTCAGGTGGCGAGAGGACATGTCATTGTTTCATTCATATTAATTTTAAATATTAAGTATAAGAAAGTCATTTCTTATACCAAAGTAGACCCTTTCCTTTTATATAGCTAAGGAAGATCATCTACCCTCTTCCACTAGAAAATAAAGGCTTCAAGGCAGGCCCTGTGTTTGCCTTTTTTGCTGTTAGCACTTAGAATAATAATTATTGCATAGGTTTGATAATGTTCAATCTATTATTGTTGAATTAAAATAATCTGATATTTGTCCCTTTATTTGGACTAATAAAAGGGCCTGGTACATTGTTGGTACAGAGCACATTTTTGTTACAGAAATAAATGAACCAACCTAGCACCTTTCTGAAAATTGCATGCTAGATTCAATGATGTAGAAACATTAAAAGAAAATTTTTAGAATTACTGGTTTGTTGACAAACATGTTATATTATCTGCCTAGATTTTGATATTTCTTGGTAAGGCAGTATTATAAATTTTTTGATATAAAAGTAAATACTGATTTTTTAAGGGTTTATATATTTATTTGAAAGTTACAGAGAGACAGGGAGACATACACATACATACACACACACACACAGAGTGATACTTTCTATCCTCTGGTTTACTCCACAAATGGCTGAAACAGCTAGGGCTGGACCAGGCTAAACCCAGGAGTCAGAAGCTTTGTCTGGGTCTCCCATGTGGGTGCAGATGCTCAAACATTTAGGCCATCCTCCACTGCTTTCTTAGGCACATTAGCAGGCAGCTGGATCTGAAGTGGAGCAGCCAGGACTTGCACCAGCACCCATATGGGATGCCAGCACTGCAGGCTGTGGCCTAACCCACTGTACCACAGCACTGGTCCCAATACTGTTATTTCTCATGCATTTTATTTTGTGTATTGATCTCAATATTTTCAGCTACTTCTAATTTTAAATATTTTTATTTATATAAAGGGAATAAATTTCATGTATTTCCTATACATAGTTTTTAAATTATTTATAGAAGTTGAACAAATTTCATGTATTTTGTATATACAGATTTAAGATCATAGTGGTACCTCCCACCCTATCCTCCCACCCACCCATATTCCTATCCTACCTCCTTTTTCCTTTCTTTTTTTATTTTTTAAGATTTATTTATTTATTTGAAAGACTTACATTGAGAGGGAGAGATGGAAAGAGAGAGATCTTTGATCTGCTGGTTCATTCCCCTAGATGGCCACAATGGCCAGGGCTAGGACAGGCCTAAGATAGGAGCCAAGAGCTTAGTCTCAGTCTCCTAGTTGGGTGGCAGAGGCTCAAACACTTGGGCCACCTTCTGCTGCTTTTCTTAGATTATTAGCATGGCGCTCGATCAGATGTGGAGCAGCAGGGATAACACGAAATTTGCCCTCATCTGGGATGCTTCACCTGCTATGCCAAAATGCTGCCCCCAAAAGGATTTTTTTTAAATCCATGCTAATTTTTAAAATCATAGATGGTCTTACCAAGCAGCTAAAAAATAATACAAAAATTTGATAAGATCCTGTTAAGAACATGTCAAATTCTATCTTAATATAAGCTTTTTCGGGAAATATTTTCTTTTCCTTGTTACATTTACTGTTTTGATAATTTGACAAATAAGGATACATTGACTACTTGAAGGGCAAGAAATGATCATGAGTCAAAGTCCCTTGAGATTACTGAGTTTTCGCAGATATCTATATCACATTCCTTGCCCGGTAAGTACACTGGGAAACTGACAAAAGGACCAGCAACACGCTATCTTCCCCACACTTGCTGCTGAACTGTGTCCATTAAGAGCAAAGGAAATGAGCCAAGGAACTCTTCATAAAGAAAACATGGAGATCTTTCACTGTGGTTACTTAGGTAGACCCCACTAATGTATTTGGCATAAATCGTTGCTTAATTTAAGGAAAAGTTTAAGGTAGCCTTGAAAATAGTCATGAACCAATCAACAAGTACTAAAATGACTTCCAATGAGTAGTGTACCTATTCTCAAAGGGGAAGGTCGTTTGATGGTAGAACACTGCCAGTAGCAGCGTTCTGTGGTGTTTTATTTTTGTTGCCATTGTTGACAATATTTTGTCCTGTTATAGCTCTTCTCTGCCTGAAGCGGTTGAATCTTGTAGGAGGTTCAAACTCTTATTTCTATTAAGAATGCCATAAAGCAGCCTTTTTGCATGAAGTTATACTATAAGGTCAATTCTTGTTGTGTGATCTTAGAAGCTCCTTTATGATGTCAATTTTCCCGGGAGGAGTCTCTTATGAAAGATTGGGAGATACATTTGAAACAGCTTCTATTCTGGAAATCTTTGAAGAACTTCCAGACATATTTAGATAATCGTATCCAGAGGAGTAAAATGGAAAATGTGACATGTCTACAGAAAGTTTCTCTTCCTTTGTTGGTGCTTTTTGTGACCTGTACAATCAGTTTCATTCCATTGAGTGTTGGAGCCTAGCAAAGGGGAAACTGTGAAACTCTTTGCCTCATGATACAGTAAGGATCTGGCTGTGTAGTAGTCATGTAAATCCCAAGGCTGCATGAAGGTAGCAGACTCAGTAAATTCTTGAAAAATTGCCATAGGATACAATTACTGCTTACTGTGGATTTGTCTTGTCTAACTCACATGGATTTCAGTTACTCAGCCTGAGGACTGGCTATTACCTAGGCCACAGTCTCCCCTAAAAAAGACTAAAATTGAGATTATCATCTAAAGCATGGCTGTATAGGCAGTCAAAAAAAAAATCTTCAGGTGGCTGCAGTATATATTAATTAGACTTTATTGGTTGATATTATTTAATTATTATATTTAATCTGTCAATTACAGGAAGAAAATTAAATCTTAAATAAATATACCATTTTTAAGTACCTTCCCCTCTATGATAGCCACTCATTAATTACTGACGTGGAGAGCATACACATGTGGATGACACACAGCAGAATTCAGTCACACAATCTGTTTCTTTCTGCTACTCAAAACTGCTTTTACATTATAATTTGCAATATCTTGGTGAAAATTAATTTTAATATTAACCAAAATAGGAAAGGTCAATATATAGTAAAAAAAATATTTGTCCTACCCATTGCATAATTTTTTTAGAGAAAGACACCGGTACTTGACAAAAGAATTAGAATCAGTAACCATCCTAGTTAATCTTTGCAGTTTGCCTTAATCAAAATACCTTACTTGAAAATATTATTCATATTTATCTATTGTGCAGTATTTATCTAACCTCTCTTTTAAAACAAATTATTCATATATCAGATGTTTTATTAATGTTATATAAAGTGGAGCATATTTCTCATTCTCGAATTATTAAATTAGCCATTTTTCCCATCAGCCTTATTTATGTCTGTGTTGTGTTGTCAGTCTGGGATGATTTTGCACATCAGAGCACATTGGCAATGTCTAAAAGACACTTCGATTGACATGACTGGGAGCTGTTGCTGGCATCTGGTTTGCAGAGGCCAAGGACGCTGCTCACCATTCTATAACACACAGAGCAGCTGCCCCTCCTCCCGATTTATCCATCCCAAAACGCTAATAGTGCCTCCTCATTTGAGAAAATCTGTTGTATATAACTTTACTCTTTAAACTATAGGGGAACAAAATGTGCATTCAGCATTGATGTATATATAAATTTATATAATATATATTTATTTTATATGTATATAGCTTCTCCTTTGCCTTATGAGAAACATGTGAGGTGACTTGATGATAAGAAAGAGTTGTTCCTTGGAGGTTATTCACTTATAGTGAGTTACCAGTTTTTCTCTATACCTTACAAGTTAAAAAAATGGTTTCATTTGTGATTGAGTTCTCGTAACTCTTGTTTGTTTTTAAGGACTGAAATATAAATCCAGGCTTCCAACTAATCAGTTCATTCTTGTACTTATTCCTGGAATACTACTTACCATATTTGTCATTGTTGGATCCAGCATTTTCATCCCAGGTAAGATGTATAGTTTACTGTGAGGGAATGCAGTATTGAGATTAACACATCTAAATAATTAAGTACTGTAGCTTCCCAAAGAGCAGAACAAATGTAGAAAATATTTTACATATTTTTATTTATTAACAGGTGGCTATTCAAGAAAGAAATCTTCTGGACTTTCTTTACTTGTAACTCCTTCAGGGATGTTGATAGTAGCTCAGTGCCGTTTGTTAAGATCAGGTTAGTATATTTTTAGTAGCATGAATTTGCCTGCCTTTTTCATTACTTTTGTTGAAAACATTCTTGTATTTTTTTACAACCCTATAAATATTGATTTGTGAAATATTTTCCATTCCATTATTAGTGATATTTTCCCTGAAAGATTAACTTGAAGATTTTTCTTAGGTCTTGAAAGCAGTCAACTGTTTGTAATAGTCATTTGCATGTGTATAGGTTAAGTATCATTTATGCTAAATGTTTGAGACCGAAGTGTTTCAGAGGTTGTTATTTTTCATATTGTGGGGATATTTGCAGCTGTAATACAAAGTTACAAAATCTGTTTTACTTCAAAATGAGAATGTTTTAGAGCATCATGTATAACACTCAGAATATTTCAGATTTCAGAGCAGTTGAATTTTGAATTTTGAATTTTCAGATTAGAGATGAATTTGATGCCAGCACCCATAATTTTGAATTATGTATGTAATTTCTTAAGGATTGCCTTCATATTTATTTTCAGTTTTTTTAAGATATATGTTAAACACACCCTTTATCTTCATTTGCTAAGTTCTAGAAATAGGATTATAAATGACAAAAGCAGAAACAATTTTTTAGTTACTGGAAAATCTTAAGTTTTTTAAGATTTTATTTATTTGAAATATAGAGCTACAGACAGAGAGAAGGAGAGACAGAAAGGTCTTCTGTCCCCTGGTTCACTCCCCAAATGGCTGCAAAGGCTGGAACTGGGCCAATCTGAAGCCAGGAGCCAGGAGCTTCCTCTGGGTCTCCCATGAGGGTGCAGGGCCCAAGCGCTTGGCCCATCCTCCACTGCTCTTCCAGACCATAGCAGCGAGCTGGATCAGAAGCAGAGCAGCCAGGACCAGAACCAGCACTCATATGGGATGCTGGCACCACAGATGGAGGATTAACCCACCATGCCACAGTGCCAGCACCAATAATGTTGTTTTATAAAAGATATGGCTATCATAACCAGTACCATTTTATCTTCATTTTAAGAATAAATGCAGTAACTAATAGACACCTAAAAAGTAATTTATAGAATAAAATTAACACTTTGAGATGTGATGACTTGGAAGAGCCCTTGTCTTGACTGTTAAGGAAAAGTGTTTTTTTGTTTGTTTCATACTACTTGATGTACTCTTTACTTAGTGTAGGGTTAATCTTATGCATATAAAGTTAATTGAAAATAAATTTTAGTAAAAAATAAGAATGGGAATAGGAGAGGTAGGAGGAAGAAGGGTGGGAGTGTGGATGGGAGGAAGGGCAAGACAGGAAGAATTACTGTGTCCCTTAGTTTGTATATATGAAATGCATGAAGTTTGGATGCCTTAAATAAAAGGTTTCTACATAAAAAAAGAGATAAGTGAAATTATGTCAATGTACTTATGAAATTTATCCTCATTTGTTTTTAAATGGAAAAAGAATTTTAGCCAGATTACTGGACTGAGTCAAAATTTCAGATGTTAGCTCACAAAAATAATGTGTGGTATGTAAAATTAAGATAAATAAATACAAAAGTATACTCAAAAAAGGAGTAAATCTCTAACATTTTTGTTATAATTATTAGAAGGGTCATATTTAGCATTTGATTTTAGAGCCAATCTCTGGCTTGCGGTATGTTGGAAAGTTAGACATTTGTTATAGTATCACAGATCTGGCAGTTGTGATGGTTATGCTCATAAGCTTGCATAGTAATTCTGTCTACCAGAGAAATTTTGTGTGCATGTGGATAATCCATGCATAATAGCTGTTCATATTTTAAACCACACAAGAAGTCTTATTTTAAGATTTTGGGTACAGGCTGACAATGTGACAATAGTAGGTTAAGCTGCTGCCTGCTATGCTTGCATCTCTTATCAGAGTGCTGATTTGAGGCCCAGCTGCTCTGCTTCTGGTCCAACTTCCTGTTAATGTGCCTGGGGAAGCAGTAGAGGATGGCCCAAGTGCTTGGGTCTCTTCCCACTGTTTGAGACCTGGATGGAGTTCCCTGCTCCTGGCTTCAGCCTGGCCCAGACATGGCTGTTGCAGCCATTTGGGGAGTGAGCCATTGGACAAAAGATCTCTCCTCCCCCCTCCCTTCCCCTCCTGGCCCCCCTCCCCTCCCCTCCTCTCCCTTCCTGTCTCCTCTCCTCCCCTCTCTTCCCCTGCCCTCCTCTCTCCTCTCCTCTCCTCTCCTCCCTTTCCTCTCTTCCCCTCTCACCTCTCTCTCTCTCTCTCTCTCTCTCTGCCTTTCAAATTAATAAATCAAAAAATATTTGATTCCAGACTTCTGAATCTGTTGCTGACACTTGTGAGGAAAGTTTAGATCCATGCAAAAGCATCTAATATCTGACTGTGAACTCTGTAACCAGTCTTTTGTCATAAGATATTTTTCTGTTTGTATACTATTTGTAGAAAATGCAAGTCAGAGTGATTGTTTCTTAACGTGCTTTTGTTCCTTTTCCTTCCCCCAGTTTTGGGAATGACCTCCTTTACCATTGCGATCTTGATCATTCAGTTGCTGGGCTTTGTGCTTGCTGTGGTTGGGTTAGTTCTCTGCATGTCTGGTAAGGGTCACTTCTATAGTCCTGATTTGGATTTCTGTTGAACAGAGCACTTTCCACTTTTAAGTATATAGACTATATGTTTTTAGAGCAGTTTTGGGTTCATTGTACGATATTGGAAAATACAGAGAGTTCCTGCCACTCCCTCCACACATCTCACACAGCCCTAGACTCTCTGAGCATCCCATTACATAGTGGTACATATATTTCAACCCGTGAAATAACATTGACATATCATTATCATCCAAAGGTCATAATTTCCACTAGGACTGTCTGTGGGTATTGTAATTAATGTGTGTGGGTTACATTGCATAATGACATGTATCCACCATTATTGTATAATACAGAATAGTTTCTGCCATAAAAATCCCGTGTGTGTCACCTATTCATCCCCGAGCCCCTGGCCACTCTGGTCTTTTTACTGCATCAGAAAATTTTGCATTTTCTGAAATGTCTTTTGATTAGAGTCACACAGTATATAGCTTTTTCTAATTGCCTTGTTTCAGTAGGAAATACATATATATTCTCTATTATCTTTTCATGGCTTGGTAGTTCATTATCTTTTTTTAAAAACTTTTATTTAATGAATATAAATTTCCAAAGTACGATTTATGCATTACAATGGCTTCCCCCCCATAACGACCCTCCCACCCGCAACCCTCCCCTTTCCCACTCCCTCTCCCCTTCCATTCACATCAAGATTCATTTTCGATTCTCTTTATATACAGAAGATCAGTTTAGCATACATTAAGTAAAGATTTCAACAGTTTGCTCCCACACAGAAACATAAAGTGAAAAATACTGTTTGAGTACTAGTTATAGCATTAAATCTCAATGTACAGCACACTAAGGACAAAGATCCTACATGAGGAGTAAGTGCACAGTAACTCCTGTTGTTGACTTAACAAATTGACACTCTTATTTATGGCCTCAGTAATCACCCTAGGCTCTTGTCATGAGCTGCCAAGGCTATGGAGGCCTTTTGAGTTCACTGACTCTGATCATATTTAGACAAGGCCATGGTCCACAACATCAAAACAAACAACCCACTTAAGAGATGGGCCAAGGACCTCAATAGACATTTTTCAAAAGAGGAATTCCAAATGGTCAACAGACACATGAAAAAATGTTCAAGATCACTAGCAATCAGGGAAATGCAAATCAAAACCACAATGAGGTTCCACCTCACCCCAGTTAGAATGGCTCACATTCAGAAATCTACCAACAATAGATGCTGGAGAGGATGTGGGGAAAAAGGGACACCAACCCACTGTTGGTGGGAATGCAAATTGGTTAAGCCACTATGGAAGTCAGTCTGGAGATTCCTCAGAAACCTGAATATAACCCTACCATTCAACCCAGCCATCCCAGTCCTTGGAATTTACCCAAAGGAAATGAAATTGGCAAACAAACAAGCTGTCTGCACATTAATGTTTATTGCAGCTCAATTCACATTAGCTAAGACCTGGAACCAACCCAAATGCCCATCAACATTAGACTGGATAAAGAAATTATGGGACATGTACTCTATAGAATACTATACAGCAGTCAAAAACAACGAAACCCGGTCATTTGCAACAAGATGGAGGAATTTGGAAAACATTATGCTGAGTAAATTAAGCCAGTCCCAAAGGGACAAATACCCTATGTTCTCCCTGATCAGCGACAACTAACTGAGCACCAAAGGGGAAACTTGTTGAAATGAAATGGACACTGTGAGAAACAGTGACTTGATCAGCTCTTGTCCTGATGGTTGATGTACAATGTAATACTTTATCCATTTTAGTATTTTTTTTTGTTCTAGTACCATTGGTTGAACTCTGTAATTAACACACAATTGTTCTTAGGTGTTTAAATTTTAACTGAAAAGTGATCCCTGTTAGGAATTTGGAAAACATTACACTGAGTGAAATAAGCCAATCCCAAAGGGACAAATACCACTTGTTCTCCTTGATAGGTGACAACTAACTGAGCACCAAAAAGGAAACCTGTTAAAGTGAAATGAACACTATGAGAAACAGTGACTTGATCAGCCCGCACCCTGACTGTTGATGAGCAACTTGATATGTTATCCCTCTTAGTATTTTTTTTGTTTGTTCTACTTGATACTTTTGGTTGAATACTGTAATCAATACACAATTCTTCTTAAGTGCTGAAACTTAACTGAAAAGTGATCGCTGTTAAATGTAAGAGTGGGAATAAGAGAGGGAAGAGATGTGCAATTCAGGAGATGCTCAAGCTGACTTGCCCCAAATGGTGGAGTTAGAAACATACCAGGGGATTCAAATTCAATCCCATCAAGGTGGCATGTACCAATGCCATCTCACTAGTCCCAGTGATCAATTTCTGTTCACAATTGATCATAATGATAGGACAAGAACCAAAGGGATCACATAAACAAGAATAGTGTCTGCAAATACTAGCTGATAGAATCAAAAAGGGAGAGAATGATCCAACATGGGAAGTGAGATACACAGCAGACCCATAGAATGGCAGATGTCCTAAACAGCACTCTGGCCTCAGAATCAGCCCTTAAGGCATGCGGATCTGGCTGAAATGCCCATGAGACTATTTCAGGCATGGAAAGCCAAGACACTCTGGGGGGAAAAAAAAAAAAAAACCTAAATGAAAGATCTCCGTGAGTGAGATCCCAGTGGAAAGAATGGGTCATCAAAGAAGGAGGTAGTTCATTATCTTTAGAACTGAAAGTTGTTTATGTATTCCCTAATAAAAAACATCTTGCTGGCTTTCAATTTTTATGACTGTGAATAAAGCTACTATTAATACCAAAGGGCATGTTTTTATGTAAATACCGTTTTTGAGTACTTGATAAATCCCAAGGATTTATCCAAGTATTGGATGTTAAATTATATGTATTATATATGTATTAAAAGTGTATTAACAATTAACATATAATACATATATGTATTAAAATTGGCAGAATAAATATAATCACTAGAAACAATAAAGCTAATTCCAAACTGAAAAAATTGAACTTAAATAGACAAGCCTGTCCTGACGGTTGATGTACAATTTAATACTTTATCCCTTTTAGTATTTTTTTTTGTTCTAGTTAATACTATTGGTTGAACTCTGTAATTAACACATATTTATTCTTAGGTGTTGAAATTTAACTGAAGAGTGATCCCTGTTAAATATAAGAGTGAGAATAAGAGAGGGAGGAGATGTACAATTTGGGACATGCTCAATCGGGCTTTCCCCAAATGGTGGAGTTAGAAATGTGCCAGGGGATTCCAATACAATTCCATCAAGGTGGCATGTACCAATGCCATCTCACTAGTCGCAGTGATCAATTTCAGTTAACAATTGATCACACTGTTAAGGCCTAAGAGCCAAAGGGATCACACAAACAAAACTAGTGTCTGCTAATACTAACTGATAGAATAAAAAAGGGAGAGAATGATCCAACATGGAAGTGGGATACACAGCAGACTCATAGAATAGCAGATGTCCTAACCAGCACTCTGGCCTCAGAATCAGCCCTTAAGGCATTCAGATCTGGCTGAAGAGCCCATGAGAGTATTTTAGGCATGGAAAGCCAAGACACCCTGGCAAAACAAACAAACAAACAAACAAACGAAAAAAAAATCCTAAGTGAAAGATCTCTACAAATGAGATCCCAGTGGAAAGAACAGGTCATCAAAGAAGGAGGTACCTTTCTCTGAAGGGAGGAGAGAACTTCCACTTTGACTATGACTTTGTCTAAATAAGATCGAAGTCAGCAAACTCAAAAGGCTTCCATAGCCTTGGCAACTCATGACTAGAGCCTAGGGAGATTTCTGATGCCATAAACAAGAGTGTCAAATTGTTAAGTCAACAACAGGAGAACAGGAGTCACTGTGTACTCCTCATGTGGGATCTGTCGGTAGTGTGTTGTCCAATGTGAATTAATGCTATAACTAGTTCTCAAACAGTACTTTACACTTTATGTTCTGTGTGGGTGCAAACTGATGAGAATTGAAAATGAATTTTGATGTCAATGGAATGGGAGAAGGAGCGGGAGATGGGAGGGGTGTGTGTGGGAGAGAAGTTATGCGGGGGGGGAAACCATTGTAATCCATAAACTGTACTTTGGAAAATTATATTTACTAAATAAAAGTTTTTTTAAAAAAATGTAGTACAAACCTAAATAAAAAATGAAAATCTGCCAATTTTAATATATCATATATGTATTATATGTTTAAGGTATGTTAAGTTTTATAATAAACACTCAAGCTCTGTGTCAAAATAGCTGTGCCATTTTGCATTGCCACTGCCAATGAATTAAAATTCCTGTTTCTCTATAGATTTGCCAACATTTGGTGTTGTAAGCTTTTCTTTTTGTAGTTCTAATTTTCACCCCAGTGGGAATAATGCTTCCCACATGGTTTCAGGAATATTGACTGTTTATGGCTCCAGGGCTGATTGTTGTAGTAGCAAAAGCTAGTATGCTTTTATTTTTAGAAGTACTTTAAAAATAACCAACCTCCAACCGGTTGGAGCCTTTACTTTACACACTATTTTCCATTAGTCTTGATGTGATGAAGCATGTGTTATGCAAAGTAGGGATTTTCTTTTTCCTGCAATAATTTGGAATCATTTCACTGACTGAGCTAATAATAATGAACATGTATAGAACATAATATTTGCTTCTTGATCACTAGAAAAAGAATTACTGACTTTATAGTTTTATATTATTGGTGTTAATTTTTAAAATTAACTTATTTTATATATATTTCTAATATACATATCTTTTTTTTTGCAGTGTGTATGCCAGTACATGGCCCTCTTCTGATTTCAGGTCTGGGTATCATAACTCTATCAGAATTACTTGGACTCATTTATATTACATTTTTTGGTAAGTCAGTTCATGCCAAACATCATAGACATTATTACTTGGAAACAAGTTGGTTCTCCTACTTGTGACTCAAATAAATATATCAATAATTCTAAAAGTGAGAAAACAGAGTTGGAATGATTTGAGCACAAAGAACACAAAAGGCATATAAAATAATGAAAAGCTTAGATTATAAACTAGTTTAAAAGAAAATGGCTTTATATATTAGACTGTATAGCTTTTTTATATAAGTAAAAGATGTTGTTGAGGACCCATTTTCTTAATAGAAAAGGATTTTTAATTGCTCCATTGTTTACATGATAGAGCTGTTTGGCAGAGATCTGTTACTTGTGTCTCCTGTTTATCACTAATTATTCTTCTGGCACACTGTTTATAGACATGGATGCCTCTAAGGGGACAGGAATTGAATTCAAGTATCTTCTACTTCTGTTCATTTAAAGAGCAGTGAACTAAAACATTTGTAGATAAAACCAATTTAATCAACACATTGAAGTTGTTTTAAAATTAGTATAAAGAGAACATTTCATGTACTTCATAGGTACAGTCCTAAGAAGATAACATACTTCCCTTTCTCCCCACTCCTGCCCTCAGTGCCCCTCCTTCCCTCCCTTGTTTTCTTTTCATTCATTTTTGTAAAGACAAAATTTTAATCCACTCTGTAATCACAGAGTTAATTCACCGCTTGCCATAATATTTAACAAGTAAAAAGTAGGAAGATCACAGTTCTACAGGAGTATAAACAAGGGCTAAGATGATAGTCATATAACAATGTGTCTGCTTCATTCCAATGCATTTTTTGTATTCTATTTTAACTGTAACATATCAGAGCAAACATATGGTATTTGTCTTTTTGAGACTGGCTTATTTCACTAAATATAATGGTTTCCAGTTGCATCCATTGTGTTGCAAAAGACAAGATTTCATTCTTTTTAAATTTAGGCTTTTACTACATTTAACATCATTTTTTTCAGTTTGGAATTATTGTTTCTAGTGATTATATTTACCCTGCCAATTTTAAAATAGCAGATTTCTGCATATATTTTAGATGCTTTTAATATAGCCTGAAGCTAGTAGGTTGTCTTACATAAGGTAAAAGATATTCTCTAAGGCAGATTTACAGTGGTCTCCCTTTTTTAAAAAGTATTTTTAAGTTTATGAAGTAAAACAAACTCTTAACTATCAAACTAGTCAGAAGTTATAAATCAATGTAGTAAAATCAGGTTTCTGCTTTGCTTTAGGTGAACTTTATTATAAATTTTCCTAAAAATGATAAACTTGAATTGTTATAGTCAAGTGCTTTTTTTTTTTTTTTCATGTTCTGAAAAGTTCAATAACCTTGCTCTGGATGGAGCAGGGCAATGCCTCAAACCGTTTGGAGAATGTTCCAGCACACACTGTAGGAATGCACAGAGTCACAGCTAGCCCACATGTGCTGGAGGCTTGCTAGTAGTCAAGTAATTTCTAAAATGACTTGCATAATACCCTCAAAGAAATTTGACTTTAACTTTTGATGATGGATAATTGAAACAGGTTCTGCTTATATACTCTCAGTTCCCCTTATAATGCTTATTAGATAATCAAAATACTTAATCATACAATGTTTCTTCAGCTCATGTATTCATAAATCATAATTGTTGCTCAATGAAATTTTCTAATTTATCCACATGTGTTTCTTAAACACAACTGAGATGTCTAAAGCAGAATGGAGTTTGTTGGTAGTTACAGGGAGTTTCGAATGTTAATGCAGATTCTTGTTGAGTCTTCTGGTCTCCATATGTCTGGTGCTTGAAGATGAGGTGGCTGGTTTTGCTGTTTCCACATGAATGCCCGAGAACAGCTTGTGACCTGCAGTATCCACATAGTTCTTAGGGAGCGGTATCAAGCATCTGATTTTTTTTTTTTATTAACTCTGTGTCCTTATTTTTCTGTAACTTTCTGGATTGCCCTCCCTACCTCCCCGCCTTTTTTTTCCTCATGCTTACAACTGCCTTTTATGGCAAAGAATTATGTTCATGAGATTTGCTTTCAGGTCTGGCCATGTTTCCTGAAGTGGGCCTAGGAATTGTGATAGCTGTGATCCCCTGACCTCTTACTTTCCTTCCTTCTCCATGATTTATGTCCCCAAGGAGCCAGTGAAATCATGCGATTGCAAATATTACTGTTAGGCCTTAAAATTAAAGTGAAAGTGAAATCTCTGCCGGTACTCCACGTTATTTTTTCTTTTTCACAATGTAACATTATTATATTGTATGTAAATTAAGAATTTTGTCCAATTATATTGACATTTTAAAAATATCCAAAATAACTTTTCAAATTAATATGTCTTTGCCAGATTTCATAGATAATCTTCGGCCAGATGAAAAGCAAGAAGACAAGAGGTACAGGGGAGTTGCTCTTTAGATAATGTGATAGATGAGAAAAATTAGTGTGTTTTGCTTATATAGACTGTTGATGTAAATCTGTATATGTATAATAGTAAGGCTGCAACTTTTTGAGTCAGGAAGTAAAAATTGTTAAGTATTTCCCAAATGTAATTTTACTCATTGAAGATGCCAGTTTCATTAGAAAAGTGTAATAAGTGTGTCTGAGTTTAAATGCAAAACAATCCTCAGCTAGTTATTTTTGTGTCAGGCTGTCTTTATAAGAGTCAGTTAATGTCCATATGAGAATTTTAAATTTTATAATTCTCATGTTTCCAAGTTTAAATTTGTAAACTTAATTTTCACTTTAAAGATGAGGATTTTGATTTTAATTTTTCATGGATGCCTTTTAACTGTATTGGATTTTCTTTCCTTTATACTGGAGGCATTTTAATTTTGTAAAATGAGATAAGAGTCTAGCAACAATAACTTAATGTGAGAGCATATCAGTGATTAAGCTTCCTAAAGTTGAGCTTGTTTATATCCATTGTTTACAATACTCATTCAGTTTTTTTTTTTTTTTGGACAGAGTGGACAGTGAGAGAGAGAGACAGAGAGAAAGGTCTTCCTTTGCCATTGGTTCACCCTCCAATGGCTGGCGTGGCTGGCGCGCTGCAGCCAGCGCACCACACCGATCCGAAGGCAGGAGCCAGGTGCTTATCCTGGTCTCCCATGGGGTGCAGGGCCCAAGCACTTGTGCCATCCTCTACTGCACACCCGGGCCACAGCAGAGAGCTGGCTTGGAAGAGGGGCACCGGGACAGAATCCGGCGCCTCGACCGGGACTAGAACCCGGGGTGCCCGGGCCGCAAGGCGGAGGATTACCTTATTGAGCTGCGGCGCCGGCCCTCATTCAGTTTTTAAAGCAAAGCCATTACCAGTTAATCTCATATGTGGGATATGGTAGTGGTTTTAAAATTTATTTTTATTAATTTAAAATATTTTAAAATAAATAAAACCTTGTATATATTTATGACATTCTCTGTGCTGTAAATCAACCTAGTAACAATAGAAACCACATTTACCACAATCTCTCAGATTTTTTAGAATGATACAGTAGTATAATATATATGCAGAATTTGTACATGCAAGTTGAGTAGCCTTTATCTGAAATGTTTGGGACTGGTAGTGTTTTGAATTTCAGAATTTTTTTTCAGATTTTAGAGTATTTTCTTATACTTAAGGAAGCATGGGATCCAAATTTAAACATAAAATTAGTTTTAATGTAGACTTATATATATAGCCAGAGGGTGATTCTATACAATATCATTAGTAACGTTGTATAGGAAGCAGTCTGTGTGCCCTGACCCATCAGAAAGCAAAGAAACCCATCAGAAAGTACTGTTTCAACTACGCCTGAGGATGATCTGGGTTGTATGGCATCACCATCATTCCTGATTGAGTGTATGTGCTACCAATACACAGTTGTTTTCTTGTATCCATATCTGAGTATGTAACAGTACAGAATATGGTGTGCCAGGAATACAGTGAAAATGTGTTCAGAGCTGCTAACAGCACACTGGCATCATCAGAGTGCTTGTATCAGCTGTTCAACAGCAGCAACAACATGTAGCATCAGGCTTTCGGTCTCCACCTGCAATGCTGTGTTTTGATAAAGGGTCACAATACACTGTTACTTCCAGTAAGAAGAAACATCAGAAATAGTTTCCTGACCAGGAAGTAGATCTTCTAGGGAAGGAGATGTATTCTGCTGGATGGCTTTTTAAAATGTTTCTTCTAGAATCATCTGACTCATTAGCAACATTTTTTTTGTCTTAGAAGTCTTTTATTAATTGACATCTGATTCCTTGTTCTGTTGTAATCATGCTACTCTTGTCCTTCAGTGAGCCCATCATACATTTTTGCCAGGTTGTCTTGAGACACATTTTTTTTTGCATGTTGACACATCATCTTTGTTGTCACTGTTAGGTTTGAGTTGATTTAGAAACATTTCATCTATTTCACCATCAAAGAATGAACAACTGCAGTCTCATAACTGATGGTAAGACATTATTCTGTATGCACTGTATCTTCTGTATATCTTCTACATTCACTGTTGGATTCTGGGTTGTTGGGTTTTTTTGTTTTTTGGGTTTTTTTTTTGCCTGTGTTTAGAAATCAGATACAGTTTTTTCCTCACTTGACGTGTAGAACACTTCAAAGTCACTGTTCTGTTCATCATTATCACTGATCCTAGCTGCAGTCCAGAGAGTGTACCAGGCATGTGAAACTATGCCTTTGGTCACCATGTTCCAAGCATTGGCTGTAGCATATATTGACTCCTTCATGCTAAATTCCTCTTTGAAAACTTTAAACCTATGTCCCCTGTTCATTGCTGCTATAAAACTGTTCAAGAAAGTATTTATTACTTTTTATTGATCTAAGGATACTCTGGCCTCTTGGATGAATTAATAAAGTCATATTTGGGGGAGAGTACATGGCAAAAACAATATTGTTGATGAGAATTTCAGCTAGAGTATGAACCAAATTGTTGTCAAGGAATAAGAAGCTTGTAAGCAGCATTTAGTTCAGCTTTCCTGCAGTGAGCTTGAGCTGTGATACAAAGTATTTCTGAAACTAGCCAGAAACATGTCCCTGATGAACCATGCCTTTTTGATAGCGTAATAATGGACTGGTAGGACATTAATTCCTTTAAAACAGCAAGGACACAAGCTTTTGCCTATCACATCAAGTTTACACTTATGCTTGCCTGCTACATTAGCAAATGTCAGAACAGTTGTTTTGTCTTTGACATCCTTAATTTCCATAGGGGCTATCTCATCAGCTAGAGAAAGTCTTTCTGGGGTATTAATGCCAAATCAGCGTTATAGACTTGTTCTGGCCTCAGATTTTCATCAGTATTAACCTTAGCAAACTCATCAATAGATTTAACTTCCATTTTGTGATATCATAGAAGATCTCTGAAAATGTAAATGCCATTTCATGTTTTAAATTTCTGCAGCCAGCCTCTGGAACATTCACAGTTCCTTTCATTTCAGTTCATTGTGATAGATGTTTGCTTGTTAATATACAGTTTAGTAGCATGCATTCCCTACCATGCCAAAAGGCCCACCCTTTCATTGTACAATTGAGATCTTCATTTATTAGCGGTGTGTAGTGGTTTTCTATTTTGCATTAACTTCATTAGTTTCAGCATAAAATGCTAGTAGTTTATCATCTACTTCTTTAAGTCGTGTAGTATTCATTCCAATACCGTACTTGGCTGTAAGATCTTTCACACTTAAACTGCTGTCCAGTTTCTCCAAAAGCTTGATTTTCTGTGCTACATGTAGACATACATGCTGTTCTTATTTTCTCAAGTTGACATGTAAGATAACTTCAGGCCTTTTAATGTTTTCAACATATTTTCATCATAGAGCAGAGAATAAACAGAAAAACAGTGGGTAATACATGTAGTTTTTGACCCCTTGTGGGTCATTATGGGATGTCTGGCCTGCACAAGTGCCATGGTGTTAGCCTTTATGGATATGCTTGCCTGAGGGAACTGGGCATACAGCTGAAGAGGGTATGGAGGGTCATTTTTCCCGTAAGAATGCTAACTAAACAGTGTGTTTTGACTGAGACCCACCATACAAGATGAGTAGTGGAATTTTCCACCTGTGGCATCATATTAGTGCTCAAAACATTTTAATATTTTGTATTTAGGATTTTCAAATTAGGGATTGTATATATATGTATATATAGATATATAAATGTATGTATGTGTGTTATACTGGGATTGTATATGTATGTATGTTAACAGTATAATCTTCCCCACTGTTGAAGAGAGGTAAATCTGCTATCACTAGAAAATGTGTTTTCTGTAAGATTCAAAAATCTATAAATATATTTATGATCTGTGGTCAGGTGTTTCAGGGAGAGAAGAGTAAATCAAGAAGCATTACAAGTATGCTCATATGGTATGCATAAAGCTTGTGGTTAAAAAATGTGTGGCCTTCAATGCCTAGGCTCATAATAGAAGTAAATCACTCACAGTCATTCTTTTGTATTAGAGAGTATTAACCAAAGTGAAAGTAATTGCTTCACTTTAGTTTTACAATATTAGAAATAGTCCATCTGACCCATGTCCCTTTGACTCACTGTTCCTCATGGATCATGTTTTCAGAATGGACCAGCCAAATGTGACATTCCTTGACCCTAAGGATTATAATTTAAGAAATTATTTTTATACATTGTAAGTGAAGTAAGAGAGTTACTTGGCAGTTCTTAATATTAATTCTCATGAATATATTTGTGAGCTCAAAAGTATTACATGAAAATCTTATCTGTTACCCTAGATAGTATGAATTAGAGATTTAGGTAGGTGTTCAGTTGTCTTTACTTCTTAGAACATAGATACAGGGCATGGTTTAGGCTCTATTGGATGATCCCTAATAAAATTCTGTAATTCTTCTTGGCTTACTTGGGAAGCTACTAAAAGTAATACACCCATATGTTCAACCCATTTTATTCTTCTAAATTCTAAAAAGAGGTTGCCTTCTTGATGCAAGGATCAAATCTCTCATCACCACCACCACCAAACCCATCACCAAGTGCCTCCACAGTAAGGGAAGTTAATTGAAAGCCTCCCATGGTACCAACTGAGATAGGAATCTCATAAGAACAGAACACTGTATAGTTTAGCAATTGAAAGGATCTCATTAATCTCTAAGAGACAGAAGCACAAGTTGTAGGCTCAGCAACATTTGCTACTTGATGCCCTTTCATTGCTTGTGGTAACTCAGTTCCTCTGTCTATGTTTGCTGTCAGCCAGCTAGCTCACTCCTTTATGTCTCTATTTTTTTTTAAATTAAAGATTGCATTAATTTGTGTCATCATTAAATTTATATTCTTAATTTTTATCTATATCAGCTCCGAATAAGAAAACTAAGCAGCCTCATAGGGTAAGTTAAACTTTATTAAATAAATTGAAAAATTGCTTAATGAGTAATGATTATTGTACTGTTGACATCTTTTGCTGTTTAATGTTGACATCTAGTTATATTTTATGATTTTATGATCTATGTTTATTCATTTTTATGTCAATGGGATAGAATAAATGATTCCAAGATTGCACTGACTTCTCACACCCATAACTGGAAGGTTTATAGATAGGAATATTGATATTCACTCTGTGGTTGGAAATGGATACCAAGATGTTGCCTTCATTGGATCCATTTGATGTGCATATAGAAAATGACAATTTCAAGATTAAAATGAGGAAGAAAATTTATATTAAAATGACCCATTAAATAACAGTCTAAAATAAAGGTAAGTGCCCCTGAAAAATATCTGTCCTGAGTTATGATTCATTTCCCCATCCCCCCATTCTATACACATTTTTCTTTCTAAATGTGACACTGAATACTTCACTGCACTTTGGATACCTTAATAACCTGATACAATTCCAAGAAAGGAAGAAATTTAAGTGGGAATAATTATGGAAGAAAAAAATATTGACTTGTCACAGTAACAAACTCAAGAGCTGTTTGATGGAAATCAGATCTGGAAAGGACTGTATCGCGCTCTGCTTCCTGAGAAGGAATGACAGATCTACATGGAATGCTAAGGGGCATCTCCGGTCCGTGGCAGGAAGTGGGGGTAGCCTGGGCTCTCAGGTCTGGCAAACTTCAACCAACAGGCCTCAAGGGCAGATTGGGGCAAGTGACTGGTTTTATCACAGGTTTTGTTCTAGAAAGACAGGAACTGTAGCCAGAACCTTAAAAGTGCTTTTTAGGAATAATCCAAGCACTGGACGTTTATATCCTAATATATTTTCTTTTCCAGTTACTGGGATGGATTTTTATGACCTGAAAATTATTCTGTTTTGCTCCCATCTCTTTTTTAACTGTACTATTTATTCTGCTGTGGCTATTTATGTTTTTGCTTAACATACTTTGGGGAAGTTAGGAGAGGGTGAGAAATTCCTCAAAAAAAGAATATTAAGAGAATAATATAGTTATTATTAAACTATTAAATAGACTTGGCAAGCATTGCTTTAGCCTTTACTGCTTTATTTCATTGCTTACTATATTGTATAAATGTTAGTTTGTATGAATTTTAGTATAAAAAGAATTTAAATAAATAAGATTTTTCTTTTCAAAAAACTGTAGACAAACCCCTTAATGTATATGGTCCTGTAAGCTTGTATATTCTCTTGATCCATTACCATATAATTTAACTGACCCTGAAGCACTTAGGATGTCCTATGTATGTCTTAGAAAGAATATTTTTTCTCACTTGCCTTGAGACCTTTCTTTCCCTGATAAGCCATCAAGAATTAGGAGTATTGCTTTTGTACTATTCTCACAACTGGGAAAAACACATTGCCTGTGTTTTTCAAGTAGTTGTTTACACTACACAAATGATATGAATATTTAGGGAAAGGGACCATTGCCTTTTTACATTGGCCAAGATGCAGCATAACGTCCCCTATTACAAAAGAATCTCGTTTACTTCAGATTTCTGATTTCAGGAAGATAATGGCTTTCCCCATGGAGTGAAACCAAACATCTCACTTTGTTTCTACATAAATCTAGATCCGTATTCTTAACTGAGTGTGTTACCTTTGTGAATACTATGGGTGTGATTCACAGAACAGCTTTGTAATAATACGACAGCCTTAAAATTAACTTGGCTGTATAGTTGAGGAATAGTTGGCATGATATTACTGTATATTTGTTTATTTACACATAATTTGTATTTATGGAACCTTACTAATTGCCTGCTTGACTTGTTACTAACCCTTAGCATTTAAAGAATTGAAAGGAATGATGAATGATGATTAAATATAAAATGAGCCTGTAGTTACAGATTTGTTAGAATAGGCGCATCAAAAAGAAATGAACAAGTTTCTTGAAAGTGTGGCTTACTTAAGTAAAATACACACGATTGAAGCCCAATCAAGAGCTTAATCTGTGTCTTCCAGGTGGGTACAGTGGCCCAAGCACTTGGGCCATCCTCTACTCTTTCTCAGGCTATAGCAGAGAACTGCTTTGGAAGAGGAGCAGCCAGGTCTTGAACCCATGCCCATATGGGATGCCAGTGCCACAGGTGGAGGCCCATTCTACTACACCACAGTGATAGACCCAAATCTTTGTCATTTTGATGAAAGTTTCTTTTGGGCTTGTGTTGATGAATTTGTTGTATTTAACCCATGGGAACTTAATGTATCTGCTTTTGCAAGCAGGAACTTGGGTTTTACCTTTTGGGAGAATTTTAAATGAGAGACATGTTTACTCACTTAAGCTTTTGCTACCTTTTTGGGGGAGGGCTATCTTCCACTGCTACTTCAGGCCACAGCAGCGAGCTGGATTGTAAGAGGAGCAGCTGGGATTAGAACCAGTGCCCATATGGGATGCCGGTGCTTCAGGCCAGGGCTTTAACCTGCTGTGCCACAGCGCTGGCCCCAGATATGTACATATTTAAAACAATTCCAAATTTTAAAAATGCATCACTTCTGGCTGGCGCCATAGCTCACTTGGTTAATCATCTGCCTGTCGCGCTGGCACCCCAGGTTATAGACCTGGTTGGGGTACTGGATTCTGTCCCAGTTGCTCCTCTTCCAGTCCAGCTCTCTGCTGTGGCCCAGGAAGGCAGTGGAGGATGGCCCAAGTGCTTGGGCCCTGCACCTGCATGGGAGACCAGGAGGAAGCGCCTTGCTCCTGACTTCGGATTGGCGCAGCGTGCTGGCCGTAGTGTGCCAGCCATAGTGTGCCAGCTGTAGCGGCCATTTCGGGGGTGAACCAATGGAAAGAAGACCTTTCTCTCTGTCTCTCTCTCTCTCACTGTCTAACTCTGCCTGTCAAAAAAAATGCATCGTTTCTTATAGCATATAAAATAGACTTAAGTAGGATTACATATCCATTTTTCAATTTCCCAGTTCGAGTCAAATGGTAGACTGAGTTGCAATCTAGTAAGACATGTAAAGAATACATTGATATTCCTAGACACCGCTACACTACTTCTCAACTGTGGGAAATCTGCCCTAAGATGACCTAGTAGCCAAAGTTCTCCAGAGAAACAGACGCAGAAGTATGTATGTGTGTAGACTGATTGATTGATCTATGCATGCTATGTATACATGTATATGTATATACATATATATATATTAAGTATATACATATAATTTTGTCTCTATATAGAAAGAGATGTGGAGAGATTGATATATAGATAAAGATACAGATACAGATGTGATACATGGTTATGATGGCCGAGACACCCCAGAAGTTGCATTTGGCAAAATAGGAACATAGGCATGACAATGTGTAGTTCTAGTCTGAGTCTGAAGGTATGAGAACCAGAAGAACTGCTAACTAATAGTTGGAAAGCTGGCAGAATAGAAACCCAAGAGGGGCCAATTTTCAGATGGAGTCAGAAGATCAGTGTCCCAGCTCTGAGCAGCTAGTCAGGTGGATTCTTATTCTCAGGGTGAGCCTTTTTGTGAGGGATAGTAGTCTGTTTTACCCAGTCTGCAAACTCAGTGTTTATCTCATCCCTCACAGACACACCCAGAATAATGGTTGATCAACTATCTAGGTATATTTTAACCCAGTCGAAGTCCAGACCAAAAAAAAAAAACACAAAAAAACAAAATTAACCGTCATGAATGATAGCTTTGACAATCTTTCTATAGGGAAAGTACTCTATTTTTCTCTTTCCTTTTTCTTTTAACTGTCATGGGAAAAGTTCACCTATTATCTATATAATGTCTTCCCTTTAGATGCTTCCTTAAAATTGATAATTCTAAAGTGAAAGTGAACCTCAAATATCAAACCCATGTTATTTTTCAGTTTTTATCCTTTTCATTTTCTGATAATGCTCCCTTAGGATTATCACTTAACCTTTCTAAGTATTTGTTTCAAGTCTCCAAATGGGTATACCTAATATGTCTTGTTAAGAATAAATTGTGTGTGTGTGGGGGGGGGGGGGTGGTTTGCTGACGCTGTGACGCAGTGGGTTGACACCCTGGCCTGAAGTGCCAGCATTCCATATGGGCACCGGTTCTAGTCCCAGCTGCTCCACTTCCGATCCAGCTCTCTGCTATGACCTGGGATAACTGTAGAAGATGGCCCAAGTCCTTGGGTCCCTACACCTGTGTGGGAGACCCTAAAGAAGCTCCTGGCTCCTGGCTTTGGATTGGCACAGCTCCAGCCGTTGCGGTCATCTGGGGAGTGAACCAGCGGATGGAAGACCTCTCTCTCTGTCTCTACCTCTCTCTGTAACTTTGTCTTTCATGTAAATTTTTTTTAAAAAATCTTTTTTTTTAAAAAAAAAGAATAAATTGTGAGGCTGGCTGTGGTATAGAGGGCTAAGCCTCCGCCTGCAGCATGGGCATCCCATATGGGCGCTGGTTCATGTCCTAGCTGCTCCTCTTCCAATCCAGCTCTCTGCTATGGCCTGGGAAAGCAGTAGAAGATGGCCCAAGTGATTGGGCCCCTGCACCCGTGTGGGAGACCTAGAAGAAGCTCCTGGAGGGGCTAGCGAGGTGGCATAGCGGGTAAAGCTGCCACCTGCAGTGCTGACATCCCATTATGTGCACTGGTTCAAGTCCCAGCTGCTTCACTTCCGATCCAGCTTTCTGCTAAAGCCTAACAAAACAGTAGAAGATGGCCCAAATCCTTGGACCCCTGCACTGGCTTGGGAGACCCAGAAGAAGCTCCTGGCTCCTGTACAGAACCTATGTATATGTGATTCTGGACGAAATGGAAAAAAAAAAATGGAAAGTTCTTGAATTTATTTAACATAGCGCAGATACCAACTCTGCTGAAGATTTTTCAGGGAACCTCTAGTGCTCCTTCGCATGCTTGGAGCAGTGCTCTCCTTTTCCATTAACTTTGCTCCTTGAACTCTAGCTATCTTAGCCACTGCAGAGTACCAGTATCATTTCCTTAACTTAGTATGT